AGTATGGCAGAGTAGCTTCGGAAAGAAGAAAGGGAAGGATGAACTGAAGGAAGGAGCTGAAGTCTTTGAACCTCGACTTTGTGATCTGCAAAACCAAGCAGTGGGCCATATCATATTTAAATCTCTTTCTTCCTTATTTTACATTAAGCAGGATGGTATTTCTTCCTTAGTTTAGATTAAACAAAAGTACCACCACATTATTTCATCATGAGTAATTACTGTTTGGTACCTGGATCTCAGACACAGGGCACCATCTAGTGCATCAAGAATCTGTATTCCTGACTGGTAACACCAGGAGCCATCAGAGATGTGTTTCCATTGAAATTGAGGAAAATGCTGAAATGTCAACTGGAAGCTACCTGCAAATATCTTATTTTTCTCAGAAGAAAAAAAAGCCTATATGGTCTTCTCCTTCGTTCTAAAGCCTTTTCCAAAAAGAAAAATGTTCCCAATAGAAATGTCATCTAAAAAAAATCTACCATAAAATGCCCAAGTATTTCGTGTCCATTGAATTCTGTTTAGAGAAGAAACTTTCCCTTTAGCATAAGTCATAAAAATAGAAATGTGCAATTTAAATTTAAACTAAAACAAAAGTGTCACATTTTATGTCATGCATGTAAATTACTATCTATAATATCAATAACAATGATAATCATATCTGACTCAGCAGGACAATTTTCATTTGAGAACTTTCAAATAATCATCTATTTCCTTTTTTTTTTCTCACTAAATCCCCTTGAGGTGGGTAACTTAGTGCATTCTAGAGATGTAAAGAAGTGGTAGCCAGCTAGTGGTGATATAGGCCAGCTCGAAAGCATGATTCACATTCCAGGACTTGCTACCCAGACGAGAGACCATCAAAAGATGTGGTGCTGGCCCTAGGAGTTAGCATTCAAGTCTATTTCTGGCAATGCAGACTCTCCCAAACCTCCTTAAGTAAATAACTTTACCACTCAAACCACTAGCCACATTCTGGGCCTGGAGGGTTTTGTTTGTCTGTGGGAATGTATTTAACTAGAATTCAGTTGTTATACAGATAAAGTGTTACTTAGTTTGTCCATTTATTCATGAATGAAGGGATGTCAAGTTTCCAACTATAACTGTAAGTCTAGTTTTTTTTTATTGCAGTTCTATCCATTTTCAGTTTATGTATTTTGTACCTCTGTCAGTTGTACTTCTGTTGTATGTTTCACCCTAGTGTGTTCTCTTGATGAATTGTCCCTTTCCTCCTTGGGAAATGTCCCTTTTGATCTCTAGTTAATGAGATCACTTTGTCATTAACATAGCCATTCCAACTTTCTTTTGATTTGGGCTTTCATGAGGTATAATATTCCATTCTTTTCCTTTTAACTTGTAGTTTTATGTTCAAAGTGAGTTTCTTGTAGACAACATATAGTTTTACCTTGCTTTTCAATATAATGTGTCAATCTCTGACATTTAATTTTAATTAGAGCTTAGATCATTTATATTTCAGATGATTATCAATATGGATAGACTAAAAATTACCACTTTGCTATGTGGTTGCTATTTGTCCTAGTCCTTCTTTTCTTTTGGGTTAAAGGAATTTTAATAATTCCATTTTATGGAATAGAATTATCAATCCCATCCAATATATCATTACTTTCTGATACTGTATTTGTCATCAGTAGGAATTCAACTTCTATCTCTTTTATGTCTTTTATTTCTTCCTCACACTCATGTTTACCTCTACCTTCATCAATACAAGGAGTTATCAAATTATATAGTGAATGTTTAAATTTCTAAAACTTATTAGAGTAAAAGACACATTGCCATTAGTCCCTCTCAATATACTCCTACTCACTTCAAACACACATCCCATCATTCTTGCCATTTCTGAAGCAGTTCTGGAAGTCCTCTTTGGGGAGTGTCTTTCATTGTGCTGTCATGGCTGCCTTCACGTCCTGAATGTGTTCAAAATTTTTATCTTGCATGGTCATTTTGACCTTGGGAAAGAGCCAGAAGTGGCATAGTGCCATATCTGATGAATAAAATTAATGAGGACACACTATAATGTTTTATGAACCTGCCTTTCCACTGGATGGCACAAGGCAGCAGCATTCACTATTTCTTTGATTAAATCTTGTAAAGACACTCACAAAAGAGGACTCTCAGAACTGTTTCAGAAAGTGGCAAGATCAATGTGACAAGCATTTTCAAAGTGAGAGGAGAATTTTGAGGAGGATTAATGGCAATGTGTCTTTTATTGTTTTTTTATTTAAACAGCCACCATATATTTTGATCACCTTTCATATTTTGTACCTGTATTAGCCTCCTCTCATTATCACAAATACTTGAGATAATTAACTTATGAAGAGGAGAGCTTTGTTTTGGCTCACTGTTTGGAGGCTGCAGTCCATGACCACTTGCTCCCTTTGTTTCTGTGCCTGTGGTAGCTCTTCATGGTATGGGAGTGTGATAAACAGAACCTCCCTCTTCATGGCTGGGGAGCAAAAGAGAGAAAGAGAAGGGAACTGGAATCTCATCATCCCCTTTCAGGGTAAACCCTCAGTTACCTGAAGACCTCCCTCTAAACACCACCTTTTAAAGGTTCTACCACCTCCCAACTACACACCCTGAGGACCAAATCTTCTTTCACATGAAACTTTGGAGAATGTGCCACTGTCAAACTATAGCAGCACCTACAAATTCTGGCCTCTTCGACTTACCTAAAACCCAATAGATGTCTTCTACACTTTGTAGGACTGCAGCCTATGACTCGTTTCACCTCAGCCCTGAAGACTGGAAACTGCATCTGGGCTGTTATGAAATATGCACAGAGTGCTTTCATTGATTTTCCTCCTTCCAATGACCTCATCCTTATATTGCCTGCTGTCCAATGTCTATAAACCATTGTTCTATATTTTGTCTGGGCTTATAGTTATCAAAAATGAGAGAATAAATCTAGTCACTGTTACCTCATCTGGGCTGGGAGTGGGTGTTCCCCTCACAATCTGCATTAACATAGCAGATGAGAATTCCAAAAAACTGCTTGTGGGTTTTCTGCACTTAGGTAGTATATTCGTTCATTCCTTTTCTAAGATTCCCTCCCTCCACCACTTAACACATAAGTTCTGGAATTCCTCCTTCACTTAACAGAAAAAGCCCTCATTTCCCAAGTTCTGAGTCAGCCTAGATTTATTTTTGCATTACCTTTTGGAGTTCTTGCCACGGTGTTACATCTTGTGTCCTGAACAGAGCTCCAGGGAGAGTAGGAGATTAGAGGGAGACTCAGGAAAGAAGTTAGATAGATGACACAGTCTAGTCTCTTTCTTAGCATATGGATAGCTGAACCTCCTGACAAGTTTTCATTTCTAGACGAGTTTGTATATACTGAATGTTTTGGGATGAATGTAAGCCTGTGATCAACCCAAAATCTATAGATTTATGCTGTAGAATTCCCTGGAAAATGTCACATGAGCCATGCAACCATCTGGATGTTGAAGGAGATTTGTCATAACCCATGTTACCCCTGTGACATGAGGTAGCCTACACCTCATTCAGAGACCCCAGCAGTCCTCCAAGCCAGTGACATGTGTGTGCACAGAAATGAGAGTCTCAGGCAGCCACATTCGAAGTCCCACATCACTCCCTGCTTTGTGCAGGCTTTAGGACCTGCATTTTCTACATTCTCTTTCTCTTTCTTATCCACACACAGTTCTCTGTTCCCAGCAACTCCAGCCACACCCCTAGCTGGACTTCAACAGCTGTCACCATTGTCTCTTTTCCAGAAGAGGAAGCTGTACCTCTTCTTCACTCTGGCCCAGCCTTCTGCATCCCACTAGCTAGCACTGGCTGCTCTCCTTCCCCGGCAAGGGGCCCCTGCGGTCACAGATGCTACTGGTGGGCATCAATTTTCACAGTACTCCCTTCAGGGAACTGGTAGAACACCAAAATATTCGAGTTGTCCCATTTATATTTTAAAACTGAATGGAGAATCACTGCATTTTGATAACCTAATTAGTCATGAACTGGAAATGGAATGGCACTGAGCTGGCCTGTGCTCAGAGAGTCAGTGCCTGGCTCTGTGCTTGCCACATGACGGGTGACAGAATAGTGCTCCAGGCCCCACCTATCTCTGTGGGTGGGGGTGGCGCCACTTCTCTTAAGTAGCTCAGGACACAAATATCGAGGTACACTCAACGTATCTCCCATGCCACATGCATACCCTTCCTCACTTGGCTGGTGCCCCTTCATAGCGAGATGTATCCAGACTCTACCAATTCCCATTACCACCACTGCCCTCACTGGCGTGAGTCTCCTGACTTCCACCAAAACGACCCTTTAAAAATATAAGTTGGCTCACATCATTCTGACTCCTGCACTCAAACTCTTCTCATTGTTCTCCATTTCAGAGTAAAGAACAAGGCTTGATGAAGGCCCTTGAGTCCTGGCAGTTCTTCCCAACAGCCTCTGATCACATTTTCCTCTCCACCTCTGGCAGCACCAGCTCTTCATTGTGTGGGCCCAACCCAAGGCCTTTGTGCCCCCCTCACCTGGCACACTCTTCCCAGATTTCTGCACTGCCTGAGTAGCTCTCTCTCAAGGTGATCTGCACCTGTGCCCTCCTGTTCTGATTCCCTCTGCCCCTCCTCATCTACCTCCTCCAAATCCCCTATTCTGCTCTGTTTTCAGAATATTTCCATCTTATGCTAAATAGTTTACTTGTGTCCAGATTTTATTTTCTGGCTCCTCCCGTGGGCTGCCAACTGCATGAGAGCAGGGAATTATGTTTGTATCATGCACTGGGTGTGCTCAAGTGCCTAGAAGGTGGCTTGTCCTATCATAAGTGCACAAGGATTACCTGTGGAGTCCATCAGTGACTTAGAGACCCTGAGCTTCCTCAAAATGTGCCTCCCAACTTTAATGGTCTCCTGATTCTCGTCCACACACTGGAAAGTCATATTTCTCACCATTTAAATGTGACTTATGAAATAATTTGGTTTCAAAAGCTGTGAATTCATTGATCTTATCAATCTGCTTAAACCGGATTTAAAATGAAGAACTTTTCTGACTTGTAAGACTGATGACAATGAATCCAAGAGAACACTTTCTCTCATGGGTGTTTACTGTCCCTGGCTTCTGTTAGTGCTGAAGCCAGTATGTGATTCTAACTCCGTTTGCTCTCAGTGGCCACAGCCAAACATTCCAGGCCTCTCCTGAAGGCTGCACAGTTGGCCAGCCCAGCTGGTCTGCAGGATCTGGGGGAGGCTTCGACGGCTGACGTCAATTGGCAGAGCCCCCGGGAAGAAGCTCACACTCAGCCTGCCTCCCACACACTTCTCATTCCCATCCAGTGTTATCAACCAACTTCTGCTTCTCAGTGTTCACATTCATCTTCTACCGTTTTGGGTGTTTTTTCACCAGGAAGCACGTGGCCTTTACAAACTCCTGGGTTGTATTCTTCTCAACCTTTGCCTATGCCAACAAAAAAAAATACAGGAATTAAGTGGAACTATTCCAATTGATGACACTTTTAGTTACACATTTATTGCTCAAGAGATTAATTTTTTAACTTCTAAATCCATTCCATTGTAATTTCACTTTTTTTATCAGAAAGGAAAGTGGAAATTTTCACACAGAGCTATCAGGCAGAACAAAGCACTTGACTGCAGACATTGCAATTGATTTATCAATTCCTTCTGCTTGTGCACGGAGGTCCAGGATGTTGCCCTTTGTTTTCAGTGTGCCTGTGAAGACCCAGCACTGCCTCATTCAAGTATATGAAATGATGCACCTCTTGGCCACTAGGATGTGCAAAGGGACCACATAAATAAAAGCACACAGGGAAACTCATGACATTGTAGTATATCATTGGGTGAGAAAAACAAGACTAGAACAATTCATTATGTAAATAGGAAATGTTTTCTTAGAATGAAGACTTATGCAAGCATTTGTGTTCATCTAAAATTTCTCCTGTCACATTGGCAATCCAATTTAATCACAAGATACGGAGGCCAGAACCTACACTCCAAAAACAAAAGTAGACAAAGGCAAGGTGAAAAGCTATGTTGCTGACCAGGCACAGCTCTGGATTCTTACAATCTCAGCCTTTCTGTGAGGTGCTGGAGTAACTGTCTTTTTCCTCAATTCTCTTTCCTACATTCTGAGTAACAGTGACTGCTGCTTCACCTCTCCCTCAACTTCCTCATGTATGTTCACTCTCACCATACTCCTGGACTCTCACAGGCTTCACTAGTTTTTAACTTCGATAAAAGTTAATAATACCTAGCCTGGTTTCTCCTGTTTTCTCCTCCCTCAGTGTTGGACTCTGAGCTTGCCTGGGCTCCCCATTTCTGTGTGTCTTTTTAGCCCTGATTCCCTTCCACCTCTAGGGGCACTCACACCAATCCTTCATTTCTTTTTTTTCTTTTTCTTTTTTGGTACCAGGATCGAAATCAGGACTTCCCACTTGCAAGGCAGGCAGCAGAACCACTGAGCTAAATCCCCGGCCCAATCCTTCATTTCTTTGAAGCCTCTGATTTTAATCACTCTCCATGTTATTCCTCCATCCTTCACTCCTGGCCTCAGTCCTCTCGCATGGATCCAGTCCCAAGTCCTGTCACTGGAAAAGGAACTGGACAAGCACTGCTTAGAGCACTGATTGGATCATGCTCCCAGGCATCATGGAGGCACAGCAGCAAGCCAGCCCCTGAGGACTCACAGCAGGACAGAGCGACACACGTCCTGCCTCTGACTCTACTGCTCACTCCTGAGTTCTGCACATCTGACTCATCTAAACCTTTCCAAGGAGACTCCGAGGCTTCAACAGCCCCTCCTTAGCCAAATCTTGTCTGTGTCATCACCTAGCTTTTTCTGAAAACATATCTGCCAATGAAGGGTATCAGAGTCACATTTTCTCATTAATTTCAATGGTAATTTCAGACATACCTTTGTACAGAAAGAAAATTTGTACAAAAGAAGAATAAAATTCACATTAACAATCATGAAATCTGCCTCTTGGCATATTTGATATTTTTAAGTTTACAATCCTTATTTATAGACAGAAACTCTTTCCACATAAGTAGGGTGATTGTGAGGTCAGGACCAGGTAGATCACAAGTTCAGTATAGTGATGGATGGAATAGAATCACATGGAAGGAGCTCCCTTGTGGGATACCGCAGAGTTTGAGAGCAGTCTTAGGAATAGGTCCTGAAAGAAAATGGTCCACTTGTCATGTTTATTCAAGATAGAAATCTCTGATGGACAGTGAATATGTAGATTGATTAGAAACCAAGCTCAGTAATCTGTGCATACCCCCTAAACTCAGTAATCCGTGCTGGTGGTCTAAATCCCAAACAACAAAGCTTGGTAAAGATTGTATGAAATGTGGCACTTGAATCCTTCATTAGAATAGCACTACTTAGCAGTAGTTTGTGATTAAAGAATTTTAGGATTTAAAAATTTTGAAATTCCTAGGGAACTTGTAGAATAATTCCCTGACCAAAAACCCAAGACTGTGTGCTCCTGGGGCACCTCAGAAGAGGTCCAAGAGAAAAAAGAGATGAATCTTGACTCTGTTCCACTCAGAACTATTGTGGGGTCTGTAGGCACATTTTAAAGGGGATATTGGAAAACACAGCCAAGTCCATTTATAGGTCACTTGGTGCCAGGTGAAAGAAGCAGAATTTTTAAAATGTTGTTTATTGGGAAAGGCTAAAGAAACTGGTGACATTCAGCTTAAGGAACCAAAAAGGAGACATAATAACTATTGTCAAATGCTGAGGATTTTAATGTAGTAAAAAGAGAAAAGTTTTGTTTCCAATGTCAATGCCATCAGATCCTGATATCCCCAGGTCACTGATCAGCATTTTTTCTAAATAAATGCCTAGGGTCATACCGGAATTTTTTTTAAGTTTCTGTTTGGGACATCAAGTATACAAGGTTAAGAACATCTCCCCATTCCCCCCCACAAATCAATGTGCTTAGTTCTTGGCACTATATCATCATTACCCATGCAAAGCCCTTGGTTTATTTATTTACTTATTTATGTATTCTTTTCATCCCCACTCTCCACATCCTTTCCCTGCCTTATAATTTCATACATTCAACTTGAGTCCAGGAGTGATATTTAGCTATGGATCCAGGACTGTAAGGGAGCTCACTGGAATACTTCCATACTTGCTGGCAAATAACATAATAGTTACCAATATAAGCAATCTACTAGTTAATACTATAAATGTTGTTTAGTTAGTGTGATAGTAATTTTATGTGCTGACAGTACCCATTGTCTTAATCAAACATTAATCTAGTGTTGCTGTGAAGATACTTTGTAGATCTATTTAATTTCTACAATCATTCCATTGTATAGATCTATTTCTATAATCATTCCACTTAAAGTATAAGAGATTAACCTAAAGTGGGTGACCCTAGTGCATTCAGTTGTTGAAGGTCGAAAAGACAAAAAAAGTAAAAACAAGCAAAACAAAACAAAACAAGCTGAGTTTTACCTGGAAAGAAGAAATTCTGCTTTCAGATTGCAACACAGAAATTGCATCTGATTTTCTGGCCTAGTGGCTCATATTACAAATTTTGACCTTACCAGTCCCTACAATCATGTGAGCCATTCCTTTAAAAAAAAATTGTATGTATTTATATATATTACTTTTTAGATAGGTAGGCAGACAGATATATGCCTTATTGGTTCAGTTCTCTAGAGAACTCTGTTTTGCCCAGCAGACACAGACTCTGTGACTTTGAGGCATCTTCCTGGAGTGAGCCCCAGAGGACAGAGCAGAGGAGAGGTTTTCCACCTTTCATGTTTGGTGCACTGCCTCTAGTTTCAACAGCTGTAGGTAGAAACATCGGGCCCATACTGCTGAGCTGAAGACTTGTTCTGGAAACTTCCCTGAGATAGATCTAGCCTGGCTGTAAAAAGGTGGGAGAAGTGAGGTGGGGCACAGAAGCCCTGGGCACAGAAGCCCTGGGCACACACAAGTGTCTCTGTGTGGTCACAGTCCTCTGATAAGTGTGAGGAGCTGGGCCTTATTTATTTATTGATGTCGTGACAGGATCTGGCTGTGCCTCCAGTGTGTGACAAAAAATCTGGATCTGGGAGCCTTAGTCCTCAGTGGATGGGAAGCCCAGTGCTGGGCTTTGTCCTCCCAGTGCTGTCCTGCCCCCTCACCTGTAGATGGAGCCTCAATGGAAGCCCATCTGTCTCAGGCAAAGGCATACCTAGTGTCTCTGTCTTCCTCTATTCTTTTCTTCCCTTGCATTTCTCATCTTGTAGCTGGTACCTGACCAACCACTGCCTTGGTGACCTGTATCTCATGTCCCCTGTAGAGCAAGGGAGGTCAAGGACGCTAAATGTTCAATGTCACTCACAGAAACTCACCTGATGAACAGTTGAATAGGACATATCATTCAGTTAAAGAGTAAATGTAGGTCGCATAAAACACGCCGAATCAGCCCGTTGCAGACAGGCAGGTCTGCCCACGCCCTACCGAGGTCCTGAGTAGCGCAGAAGACGCCAAATCACCCCGCTGCAGACAGGCAGGTCTGCTCATGCCTTATCCAGGTCCTGAGTCGCACAGAACACGCCAAATCAGCCCAGGGCAGACATGCAGACAGGCAGGTCTGGGCACGCCCTACCGAGGTCCTGAGTCGTACAGAACACTCCGAATCAGCCCGCTGCACAGAGGAAGGTCTGTGAACACCCTACCAAGGTCCTGAGTCACATGGAAGACACCAAATCACCCCACTGCAGACAGGCAGCCACCTGGTTCCACACTACAAAGACACAGAGGACACCAGACCACCAGACCAGGTACTGAGTCCCGCTGTTCCTGGACCAGAGGTAGGGGCTTCTGAGCCGTCGTCCCACTGCTCCTGGTCCAGAGGACGAGGCTTCCCAGTCACCATCCCTCCCGCTGCTCCCAGCCAAGAGGAAAGGGCGTTTGGGCAACCTTGTGTCCCGCTGCTCCTGGCCCAGAGGAAGGGGCTTCCAGGACACCATCCCTCCCACCACTCCCGGCCCAGAGGGAGGGGCTTCTGAGCCACCATCCCACTGCTGCTGGTCCAGAGGAAGGGGCTTCCAGGCCACCATCCCTCCCACCACTCCCGGCCCAGAGGGAGGGGCTTCTGAGCCACCATCCCACTGCTCCTGGTTCAGAGAAAGGGGCTTCCCGGCCACCATCCCTCCCACTGCTCCCAGCCCACAGGAAAGGGCTTTTGGGTCACCATCCCTACCTCTGCTCGTGGCCCCTGGCCCACCTCACCCAGCTCAGAGGAGGTAATCCATGCAGGCGCTAACAGCCCCCCGCCCCAGTCGAAATGAGAAAACACGTAAATAACTCCAAAACCAGACTTCCAGATCACCTACAGCAACCCCAAAGGGAAATAAGATGGAAGACTCGGATACTCAACCACCCGGACCCACTGAACGGGCAACAAAAGGGGATCTGGAAAAAATGAA